AAAGAGTGAACTTTAGAGAGGCAAACGAGAAACAGAGTTCAGAAAGTTAAAAGAGGCTGAGTAGTTTGAAACTGATAAAACAAAATCAATCAATTTTTATTAGGCCTAAAGCTTGCCTAGGCGTCGTATGTATTGCCTACTTGAAAAGGTGAACATGCATATTAATTCCAATTTTTTAAAGAGAAGACGCAGTTTAGCCCGAACTTGTGTTATTAAATTAAACAACTGGCGAGGTGTTCAGCAATTGCAACTCAGATGAAATAAAATCCTAAGCAACATGATGTCTAATGCACATAAAGCTCTTAAAACATGATCTCTAAATGCAGTAGTAATTTTTTATAACAGTTGTTTGTTGGTTACTAATCGTGATTACGAAATGAGTATAATAACAACCTGAAAGTAAAGAGCCTAGAGCAGGATTTCTATATGTAAGATGCATGTCCTGTACATGGTTTCTATTGCACAAATAGGTAAGTAAAGCCCTATAGGCATATTTTCTACCCATCACTTAAACTAAGCATGCGTAATCCCACCCAATTCCACTATAGCCCCAATCAGTTGTTTACAAGTTATTACAAACCATGATAGTTGAATTACATAAGTAAAGAAAAATAAGAAGTTACTCTATAGGGAGCCTTTAACCAGGCCCAATCTTCCAACCTCACTTCTTTCGAGTTTCACAACCTTTGCCATGGTTTGGGTGCGGCAAAGCTCCCTAAGGGTCCATTGAGATCCTTGGCCAATACCAGCACCCAAACACTACCAAAAAATTGAACAAGTGTAGTGTGGGATTACCAACCTTGTGCATCAAAGTTCAATGAGTACTCAAGGGTACCCAAGGCAATGCTTACACGAAGGGGGTAGAACCTAAACTCTTGGATTAGTGAGCGTGCGTGACATAGCTTTTAAAGAAATTGAGTTGAAAAACAGTTTTAAAAAATGATCCATGTAGAACCAGTTTTGAAAGAAAACAATGTGACAATTTTGACAATCTCAGAGCCAAAATACCACATATAGTTCAGGGAAGTAAACACAAATAGGGAAAAAGGGATGTGGGGACAAGTAGTTCACATGTAAGAGCACAGACATCAGAGAAAACACTTCAGCCTTCAACAGTCATACTCCCTCCCAAAGAGATTCAGGATTATTTAATAGCTAGGAAGGGTTATGAATACAAACTGATAACGTATTGGGGTTAGGGGGAAAGGAAGAAATGTATTAACAAGTAAAGGAAACATAGGCAAGCTGAACTACAGGAAAGATGATTACATCAATGAATTAGCAAAAAAGCATGTTTTGGAAGTTGTAAATCAAATAGAGGGCATACCAGTCGAGAATGAGATAATATAGAGCAGTAGTGTGCAGAGAAGTAGAGCAGTAGTATGCAGACCAAGCAAGTAGCAATGTATAGAGCAGTAGAATAGTAGAGCAGTCCCAAAATCACTCAGTCTTGGCTTTTAGCCGACTGAGTAATCAGTAGTCAACAGGGGAAGTGAGAGAGGATGTATAGAGAAACAAGAGAGAACAGTGAGTATGCTTATGTGTGTAAGAGAGAGTTCAGAACACTGAATCTCCTTTTTTCTAAAGAGAGGGTAGAGTACTTATAGTTCTCAAAATAAGTGGAAAATAAGGTAATACGTATAGACTGATTATAATTATAGAAAGAATACTTATTAGAATCAATTAAAAACTCGGATTTCCTTCAATTACGGAGTCATAGCTCAAACGGTACAAATTGCATCAAATAAGGAAGATGTTTGCAAGACTAATATTTCTATAACAGGAATAGCATGGAGCATGTAATAGGGACTAAGTACAAAATAATTACAAGTAAGGAAAGTAAAATAAAAGTATATTATGCACATAAACAGACGGATTATAGACGAATAAAAAAATTGGTTCAGGAAGTCACAGACGAGATTGAGAATCACAGGGAATCAGCACTAAGTAAGGAAAGCATCTCACAAACAAGGAAGTGACTCAAATCAGTGGAAAACCTCCAAAGAAATCACATACAAAAAATCAGGGATTCGAAGAGATGCACAGAATTGGCAGAACATTTAGTAAATAGAAAACAATTAGACCTATTTAAACACAGTAGGCACAAAATCAAAGAACCCTAAGTAAGAAATCACAGAATCAGTGGAACGTTAGAACAAAATTAACACATAGAAATCGGGAAATAAACCAGAAGATTACGCAAACAAGCAGAAATACCAACACAAACATACAGTACTAAAAAAAATTAGAAGATATACTGATTTCGAAAGAGGTTCAGAAACCCTAGTTTTAAAAGAAGAACAATGCGTTGAAAACTTGAGCACTCGTAAAGATCGAGTAGAGAGTAGTGTAAAACACAAAAGAGTAAGTTAAAAATCGTTAAAAAGACATAGATTTAAGAGGTCTAGGTAGAAATTAGGGTTTTCTAAAACCAGTGAGATGTAAGAAACCTGGCTGTGCAACTCGTCAATAATGGTGTTCGTAGCACCATTGGACCAAAACCCATCGGGAAAAGGCCGGAGACAAACCAGGCAAAGCTTCTGGTGACCATCTTGTGTGGTGGGGGCTTCTGGGGTCTCGAAGATAGAGGGAATAAACAAGACAAGGTTTCACGGCGGCTGGTGGTCGAGAGAGGTGAGGCTGGAGGTGGCCGGAGAGGCGGTGGATTCATCGGAGAGAACCAGAAGGTTCTAGAGGGAAGGGAGAGCAAGAGTCAGTATAGAGAGAGAGAGACCGTCTTGGAAAT